ACAAATGATGCTCGAACAAAGGAAAACAAACAACATTGATATCCTATAAAAATGGATACCTTTGTGTTAAAAATCATTACTTAAATAAAATATAATTTTTGTCATGCGTTAATGATTAATATAATCGAATGTAATCGAGTGTCGATTCTACATAATAACAGGATTAAAGTTTATGGGATAATTTTTTTTTTTTATATATATTATTTATTAATTTAATTGAGTTTCTTTTTACATAAAAATTGGTTACATTATTTAAATACATTTGTGTTGGCGTGTGTTTTCATAAGCCGGATGATAGATTTGCGAATTATTCATTTATTATTTGATTCGGAGTTCGTGTTGTTTAAAACTTTCTCTTGTTTTGACGAGTTTCTTTTACAATTTTTTTGTCTTTAAATTTGAATAACAGAATTAAAGATAAAGACGTACTAATTTTAAATATGATTAATATATATATTTATAAGAATTAATTAAATGATGTAATCAAAACGTAATTATTCTTATAGAGAATTAAATATGATTGTTCTTATTTATTGTTTCTAATTTTTTCCTTAACGTTAAAAAAATATTTCTCCTTTAGAAACAATTTTTTTTGTAATTTACAATTATTTATATTAGAATTAATCGTAATTTGGTACTTATTACAGTAATTACTATGTATACTATGTCAATGCATTAATATTGTATACCAATTATTATATAGTATTATATATATTATACTTGTTGTATATAAATTTCAGCAAATTATAAAATTTCATGCTTCTAATATATATTTATATAGAGCATAGTTATTGATGATAACATGTTTTGATTATGATATGAAAAGCATATGAATACCTTTTGTAAGTATACATTATAAAATGCAACTTTATTATTTATGTTAGAAATTAAAAATTCCAAACTATGGCATGTCAAATCAAACTTGCCTTTTGTTTTTATATAAATGTTTATAAACAGATTTTTACAATTTCGATGTAATGTATGACGACAATGTACTATACGATTACATTGTAAATGAATCAGCTTATGATTGTGTGTAAAAAGAATCATTCAAATAATTGTACCGTATAACTTATGTATAATATAAATTTGTCTCGATTTATAATGATGTATTTATTAATCACAATAATTTTAATATGTTACTTGTTCACTGAAAATTATTATGAGTATGGGAACACACTCTCATTTCTGTTATAATAACATCACACAAATCATAGTTAACTAATTACTTTATTACTGAAATTTGATAAATATTGATACACATTAAAATTTATAAAATGTATTTTTATATATATGAATATGCTTATATAAAGAAAATTGTGCCAAATATAGATATTAACAATAAAAGTTTTTATTATCTATAAAATGAAAACGGTCGTAATTATTGACTGCAAAAATTAAATAAATTATCACCAAACACAATAAATAATCAAATTAGTATAGTATATATTATTTCATTAAAGAGTAACATGAAATTAAATAAGATTTAATTACTTTATGTATTCTTGAGTAAAATTAAATAATCCTAATTAAGGAAAAATAAAAATTTTATTCATTAATTATTAATGTCTATGATTTATATTTCCAAGCACTTAAATTATACGTGACATTTATTGTACGTTTACACAATGTATTTAATATTTTTAATAAATGTATATATTGTTACTTTATTTACTTTATTCTCGTATATGGTTTGGAAATTTAAAATAACATGATTTATAACATACATTGCCCGTTAGTAATTGTCCGTATTTCATTATATATGGGCATTTATATATATATATTTTTAATTAATTCATAATCATAGACCCTTGTTTTTGTTACAATTCTTAATAATTTAATATCAACATTTTTTAAGAAAATATTATAATAATTTCAAGTAGGATTAGATAAAATAATAAAATTGTGGTTACATTCTACAATCTTTATTATTAGTTTCGGTTTTCCGAATAACATGTTTACTTATATATAATCTAATCTACATAGATTGTTATTAAATACAACATTTGTTGTTCAAATTTTATTATAAACAATTAAATTTATATACATATATAATATTTGTTATTAAAGTAACAAAAAAATAGTTATTACATTGTTTGCACGTTTAAGTAATAATTACTATAATTTTCTAACAAACAGATGTTTGTATAATATGTAGCTGTTGAACTTAGGAAAAAGTATAATTAAATGTGTCATAAATAAATATATCGATTACATAATAAACGTATAAATATAATACATATGATATTTAAAATACGTCAAAATGTATACATTAATAAATATCATATTAATTACTGCTGCAGATAAAGGTATAGAAATATTTGTAAATTGGATGGAGGTAATTATAGAAGTTTAAAACCTGCAATATAAAATTTTCACACGTAAAATTTGTTGTGATAAAAAATTCGTTTTATTTTATTAAAATTTTTCAATAATTTATTTAAAAAATTATTTCACTTATTTACGAAACTTTTTTAAACCGAACAATAACACTAATAACAAAAAACAACAATAACCGAACAATAACCGAATGATAAATGTATCCAGTCACCTGTTATACAACATAATATAGTTGTCGAAATAACATTACTTACATTATTAGTAAATTAAGCATATTATAAATTATGCTATTCATGTTAAAAAATAGTGACATATAAATATTTTTGTGAACATATTTACATATAAGAATTTTATGCGTTATTGATTGCAAAGATTGTAAAGAAGTCAAATTTATAGCAAGGCTTTCTTTATTTAAGCGTCCCGCGCAAAGGTCTTTCATTGATTTTGTGCACCACCTAGCTGTTAAAATTTTTCATACTCCACTAAACACAGTTCCATATTTACTTCTGCCACATTCAAGCAATGCATGCACATCGATAATAATAATAATAACAATAATAACAACGACGACGACAACGATAACTATTGTTAAAATAACGGTAACAACAACAACAACAACAATAATAGCAACTAACGCATTTTATGTTTTCTGGCAAATCACTATATACAATTTTTGTATTCTGTGTTGATAAAATTTCACAATATCGCATTGTAAAATAGTACACGTGCTTTTTTATCATTTATGTAGTAATAGTAACATTAATTAACTATTGTATTTTTAAGATGATATCATTTGACGTGATTTCGAAAATTATTACGTTTTGGATGGCTAAAGTATGATCAAGAAATATTGAGTTATTTAGTAGTTTATAACCTACAATTTACATATTTTAAGTGATTTTTAATTAAAATTTTAGCATGCATGAGTTTTGCCCGTTATGTTTGAAAAGTGGCAATAAAGTAAGAATTAAATCTTTCCAACTCAATTTTCAAGAAGCTGTATTGATGTGTGCCACAGAGAATGTAAGATTATTTACTTTTTATTTTATAATAATTAATTAATTAATAATTTTAATTAATTGGTAATTTTATTTTTAATTCTTCTACAGTGTACATGGCCATTTGGTTATAAAAACCTTATATTTATTAATCGACCAGTGGGGAAAGAATGGTCTAGTACTTGGGATGAATCAGTACTAAAGTATACAAAAAATGATCAAGATATATTGCCTGATTTATCATCTTATATACCATCGCAATCATCTAGCAGCAAAGGTGTCAATTGTAATAGAACCAGTACGATGTTTGTTCAGGATCAAGTGCCTACATCGATGCCTAACCTTACAAAAGAAAATGTAAAGCAGCCTCAAGAATTGTATTCAGTATTAATTGAGCCAAATGAATTATCTGTACATAATAATATTAATAATAGAACAAATTTAAAACCAAAAGTTGTGTGTTTGAAAAATGTGAACTATACATTAGAAAGGCATGTTCCAAAAGGTTATACTTACATTAAAAAAAATACTAATAATGATAGACATGCTGAATCTGGAAAAGAGTTAAAAAATGATGAAAATATTGCAAATCTGTCTATTGCATCAGTAAATAATTTAATACCTGTTGAAGGTAATAAATTAGCATGTACTTTACCCAAGTTGAGTGTAGTTAATGAAAGATCAAAGGAAGGATTAAGACTGCTAATTAGAAAACAGAAGAGATTAGGTTCTTATGAAAAGTTTGATTTCCAGGAATTAATGAAACCAATGTGTGCTACTATAAAAAAAGAAGAAAAGCCAGATTTAAGCATAAATGAGAATGTAAAAGAATGCTGTCCCAATGTTTTAGTAAAGTCCAAATTTCCAAATGATAACTTAATGGATTCCAATGGAGCAAATATTGATGTTGATAATAATAATCAACTAGATGTAAATTCAACATTAGCTTTAAGTAATTCATCTAAGGATTATGTAGTTGATCAGGAGTTAGTAGAAAAAGAAGATTTTAATTTACAGTTGGAAGAACTCTTGGCTGGCTTTTCTAATGATGTAAATAATGTAGAAAAGAACAATGTAAATAATACGGATGAGTACGATTGGATTAATTCCTTATTCGAATGAATTGAGTATTAAACTATTCATTATATAATATTTATATATTTGTACACTAGCGAAATATTATATTAGAAAAGATTTGACAATTGTAAGCGACATTTTAGTCATTACGTGTTGCATGAATATTTATAGGTATTTAGGGAGCGATTGTATATTTATCCTTTTTTAACGATAAAGCTTAAGTCGATGAGCTTAAAAAAATGATTTATTATGTTTACCATTAACCATTTACTTCGACACACTAACAATACAATTGTGAAACGAACTTTTGAGGCGCTTAACTAAATTTCATCCGCCGTTTTAAACGATTGCAATGAGGAATATTAATAGCGCCACGTTTCTGTAAATAGCCGAAATCCTCGGGATTTCATCTCGAATAGATAATTTGTCGGTCGAAGAGAAAATACGAACATAAGTATAGAGTGAAAAAAAGGCCAAAATTAAAAAGAATAGAAAAATGTATCATAATGGTTTGAGAAAAAGAGCCTGTTCAGGTAATTCATATAATGAGCGTTCAGCGATATAATGCGACTGACAGGATCATCGATTCCTCAGTCTACAGCCGACGCGGTGAGATGCGAGGTGAGGCGAGGTGTGGCGAACTGAGGCGAGCTCCGGCGAGGTATGGTGAGGTGAAGGGACGTGAACGTAGACTACCCGATGTATACAGCAGGTCGAGTTATACAGGAAAAAAAATGGTCGCCTTGCGATTATCGCGGCGCGGGCGCCGCGGGGCTCTCGGCATATTTTGAAATCGAGTGGTTTTTCGGCCGCGCAATTATCTGTTGGTTGTCGAAGGAAACCAAAGCCGGGCGTTCCTTTTGTGCGTTTTGCGCGCAACCAAGTCTCAGCGCTCGCCGTACGTGGGTTACGACCGACCAAGGGGTTTCAACGATGTGGGTCGGTGCGGGGCGGGAGGGGGGGCAAGCAACGCGCCTCTATCGCTGAAATTACAACCTGACAAACTGACACGTAAATTGGCTTCCACGACTTTTATCTATATACGCGACGCGTCGAAGGGGGAAAGCGAGCGGAGAATAGTTCGAAGCTGCTCGATCCCTGTGCTCGGCTATGCACACTTATATATCAAGGCTAAGCTACACTCCTTGACTGAATTAGCCTTTACATTTTGATCGAAGAATTTCCGAGAGAGCGAGACTCGAGCTTGAACCAAAGTAAGAAACTCTTCTTCGTACGGCTTGCGCACTTAGAGGACTTGGATTTTTTATCGAGATACGAGTTGCCAAGCATTTGGACTCAACCAAGGCCATTTCGTTGCCTCCTGCCCCGTCTGCCTTAACTTTATTCACTCGTTTGTTCTCTTGTTTTTGGATTGCGAGGAAGAGTGCTTCATCGTCTTTAACATTACGTTCAAAATCTCGGTTGCGCACATGTTGAATCGAACTTAAATTTACGGTGGGCATGACTATTTCTGTATTAAAATCTTACATTGCTGGCATTTCCTTATTTCATCTAGTCCTGTTTCAAGATCGAATTGAAACACCTAACTTCACGAAATTTTACAATTCATCATTCATTCGCTAAATTCTTGTAATATTAGTGTTAAGATATTTGAAAAAAGTATCAATTGTTTATCTCTCTAGGTAAGTTGTCTTTAATGTTTTTTTTACAATTGTCGAACGTAATCCTCACCTTCTTATTCAGTTTTAGGAAATAAAGTAGTTGAAGAATTTGTAAAAATAGTGATATGCTTATATTTGACTAAATTAATAACATTAATTTCCACCTATAAAAATTTGAGATCAATGCCGGTGTTATTGTATTTTTTAAGCGCTTTTCATCGTACATTTATGCGTTTTAATTTGATGATGTTCTTTATTTGTATTTTCAAGTTAATTAATTTGAAATTGACTGCGTCAAAACAATTTACTAGGCTGTACGTGCATTTTTTATTAGCTTTCTCTAAGCTTATTATAGGCGCTTAGAAAGGAAATTGTAAATATTTGTTTATGTTTGTGCCTAAATATCGTATATGGAAGCCTAGCGTACATAATATAATGTAAAATGATAATAATTGGTATTTATTTAATTTTTAATGATGCTATTAAGAAAAGCATTCATCCGCTATTTTCTGTGAATATTACAGTTTGGAGTATTGTCATAAATATTTTAGATCTTCATCGAAAATGTAATAATAAAGAATACCTTGACAATTTATTTTGTTCCGTTTAAAATTCATCCACATTACAATTTTTAATGAAAATCGTATTTTAAAACACATTATCATTCTTAATGGTAGTTCCGATTTTATCCATAGAATGAAAATTAATGAGCTTATCGAGCTTTGAAAAAAAAAAGAAAAAGAAAACTATTGAAACGCCTTGTAATCTTAAAAAAATAACAAAGTCTAGCAAATACTATTTTTCTGTTTTTATAATTTTCTGAAATTAAATTATACGAATATTAAAAGTTTGTTGAATTTTATGTTGATATTATTGAAAAATGAAGTATGTGCAGTATTTTATTAAATTCTAGCAATAAACAAAATACATAATTAAGAATATTAGAAAATATTTCGTGTAAAGCGATGCATTAATATAAATATATAAAGTTTTTACAAAACTTTATTTCTTAATTAGGTATAGGTAAATTAAAAATCTATTGTTTCAAAATAACGATGAACGAAATGTAACTGTAAGATTAATAAAATTAATTAAAAAAAATATTATTAACATGTTCGATAGATTTAATAGCTTGAAATTCAACTAGAAATTTCTTTCTGTATAATGACTAAATATATTTTTAAAATCAAAATGGTTTTTTGCTTCTGTAAAATCAATTATTACGAGAAAAAAATATATATTAAATCTATATTCAATATTCTATATCTCATTGAAATCAAAGAAATGTGTATTTACTGATTGATAATAGATGAAGTATCACTTTTTTAATATTATCTAATTACAATTTAATTGTTCATCTCCATTTCAAGACATCAGCTTAACTAATAAGGATTGCTCTTGGAGGCATTGTTTCCCGATAGATTTTAAGCCCAAACTGAATATAAAATATCACTTTGTAATTAAGCTAAGTTAGTTGAATTTCGGTTCAATTAGTTCGTTAAGAGGAATGGAGCAAGAGGAAATTTAAAAGATTACTAGCGGCTTTTCATTCGAATCGGCCACCGAACATCCATTTGATCTTCGATCGTTGCTTTCTAGGATCGATAGTCGGCATCGGTGACCGAGTCCACCTATAAGTCCACGAAGTCAATGCAATCGTGAACCAACGAGCGCCAGGTTATCTCGGTTTCTCTCAATTCTTGCCCCTTACCACGCCAAACCCCTCGACAAGTTAATTACGCGAGAGGGCCCATAGCATCTGTCAAGGCAATTGCCGCGAAGGTAAAATTGAGAGGCGAGCAAAAGAGGGCAGAGGGGGCTTTGGTCAGACTCTATGCACAGGTGTAGTGAAAATCGCAGGAGTACCTCAATATTTAAAGAAGAGATGTGACGAGGAAAAAGAAGGCGAATAAGGGAAATAAGGAATAAATAGATAAATGGGGAATGGTAGATTTTCCCCCGTAAACCTAACGAAGAGGGCCGCAATTAATACGAACGTTTCAATCATCGGGCGAAATAGGATTAGAATAAAAGACCGCGGCCCGTCAATCAGCCACTGGAGGAAGATCCGCAGGGCACGGCGAGCAGGTGAGGTCCTGGATCGTGCTCAGCTCAGTCGTGGACTTGCGCCCGCGCAGGCAACCGGGTCGCGGCTAAGAGCCGAAGTTCGGCTTAAAGGACCTTCGCCAGACCAAGCGTACGAGGAGGGGGGCACGGGCCGATGTCGCGTGGGAGTAATATAATAGTGGTCGTTATCGCGATCCTGCTGGGGCGGAGCTGACATGCACCAACCAGCAGCAAGTCGGGCCTCTACCTCTGCCACCTCTCCGCCGGTCGGAGCTAACGCCACAAACTGCCCGCCATCATGATTTGCGACCGCGGCGCCGAGAAGCATCCCCTTACCCACCTCCGACCTACCTCCGTCCTGTCCTATTGCAGCGTCAGGAATCGCGAGGACCTGGAGGCGCTACACCGCCGACACCTCTACGTCCACCAGGGCTCTTTCTCCCCTCTCACCACAGGACTCAGGACTTTTGAAACACGAGCTCGCACGCTAATCTGATGCACAATTTTAGCCTTAGGACGAGCTCTAGGTACGTAGCACATTGTAGCTTAACGCTCTACTCAATACTCTATGTCTCTCTCTCTCTTTCTCTCTCTCTCTCTCTCTCTCTCTCTCTCTCTCTCTATGTCTGTCTCGTTTCTCTCTCTTCTTCCATACTTTCCTCTTTCTCTCTTTTCCGCAGCGACTCTTTCTCAACGAAGTTTTTAGGCGCCTACATATGCAACGGCTGCGTTTCCAACGATATCTCGATAAGTAACAACAACTTCGCCGAACTCCGCTCATGGCAATTTATAGGAAGATATTGAGGTAAAACTGATCAAAATATGTATTGGAGTTTTGTATGGAATCGTTATCTATAAAAAATATTCAAACGTTATTTACACCTAACTTCGTTTTATAAAACGTCAAGGTATTTCATTGATCATTGCATATACGAACTTTTGCAATATTTTCAAAATCGTTGAAAGGACTTTTGTTTTTGTTGCTTTCAGACGTTAATTTTGCTACACCCTTTTTAATAATCATCAGCTTTATGAAGCTATGTCTATATTTTCTCTAAAAAATTAAATTTCTATTATTCCAATTTGTAATTATTACGAATATCGTCTCAATTTTAAAAATCGTATGTTTACAAATAAAATAAAAATAATTTTATCTAGCCAAATGTTTATCAAGTTTTATAATATAGTTATTTGATGTGGGTGATATGCACTATTATTTCAATGATTATTTATTCAAGCAAGCAGAAATTATTATTAAATACAACAGCCCAACGGCTATTTAACGATTGTTTATGAAAAGTACACGAACATATTATTTTATAAATAGTCTTTATCGGCTAATAATTATGCGGATACGGTCGCTGAAGAGATAACACCATAGAGCTCGAGTACTTTCCAAATATACTTAATCGATGTTACGAGTTCGTGTCGATAAGCATATCGACGAATTTTCAGAAGAAGATGTGTGT